GAAGACAGAAATCTTCATACTCATCGCCCTGATGACGGAGGCAGTATGACCTCTGAAACGTCGGTAAATATCGACCAGACTACACAGCTCAACAACCCAGAAGACAGAAATCTTCATACTCATCGCCCTGATGACGGAGGCAGTAAGACCTCTGAAACGTTGGTTAATATCGACCAGACTACACAGCGCAACAACCCAGAAGACAGAAATCTTTAAATATTTGTCACTTGCAACTTCTTCAGCCCGCGAGTCGACTAGCAAGGGCATCTGCGGCCTGCGAACAGCCGTTGCACCCTACCCGTCCATCGTAAGTCAGGCCGTGCTCCGCCTTGCTGCCTCTGCGGATCTCGATGACCTGGCCGTAGTGTTCCGCAGGTACTCGGTCGCCCGGCGTCCTCGCAGGACGTTTGGCGCGCTGTCACGATTGGTTCTGGTAAAGGTGATGATTTATGCATCCACACGCAGAGAAAGTTTACACAGTTGAGTGAACAGGCTTATACATATTAAAATTGATTGTTTGGAAAGTACGCAGAAAATTCTGGCTTCCTGCTACATCGGCATTAATATAGTGTTGAACTGTGTGTACCCACGTGAAAACGAGATGATGGAATGAATGCACAGTGCTTCACTATCGATAGCGAAGTGTGCATGACGCTTCGCATCCGGCTTGTACGACTCGTACGTCATTTTGTCTTGCTTGCCGAACGCATCTGACAGTCCCGTCGGCACGCCGTCTCGTAATGGACCATGCATGTTCATAACCGTCGCCATAAATGTGCAACCCTAAATATGATTCAATCTATTCTTATGCCGTGCATAGTTTTTAATACGGTGATTCCGGTTAATTGGGATACGTCGAGACTAGAACGCTTCGGCCCAATTAAGTGGCTGTCCCAATTATGCGAAGTTCTACGTAAAAGAGTTAAAAAGGTTTGTTCTTTAAGATTTGTCCCAAATAAACGGAAGGCCCAATTAACCGGAATCTACTGTAGTTTAAAACTAAATAGCTTGTTTTTCTCTTTCCATGGTATCCTGGAATTTCCAGTGTTTAAAAGCTACAACTATTCAGTTTAAACTTAGGAAACATAGCAGGTAAATTTTAGTTTATTGTTTAAATATAGGAAACATAACAAGGAGATTTTAGTTTTTTGTGTCATTGTAAAATACTGAGCATATCCAAAGCCGTGTCTCATTTGTAGCACCGAGAGTCCATGAGAAATGCGAATGAAATTTTAGGCCGGAAATCCAGAGGGAAGGGACAACTTCGAAGACCAAGGCATAGATGGAAGTGTTCTGTTAAAGGGAGTGAATTCATGTGGCTTACGATTTAATTCACGAACTTAAAAATTTATACTCCTTCTCCAATATTGTCAGGGTGATTAAGTCGAGAGGAATGAGATGGACGGGGCATGTAGCGCGCATGGATGAGACAAGATGTGTGCACCGGGTATAGGTTGGGAAGCCTGGGGGAAAGAGACCGCTGGGGGGAGACGTAGATGGGAGGATAATGTCAGGCGAGATCTATGGGAGATAGGAGTTGAAGGAGACTGGATTTTGTTGGCCCAGGACAGGGACCGGTGGAGGACTTTGGTTAATTCGGCGATGAACCTTCTGGTTCGGTAAGCCAGCTAGTTAGTTAGTTACGATTTAGTTCAGTGGTTCGCTGTTGTGAGCGTGGTAATGAACATGGGTCGTGTTCACGGCGGGGGATTTCTTGACCAGTTGAGCAACAAACAGATTCCCGAGATGGCCTGTGTTCTGTGGAGTTCTTTAAGGTTTTTGAAAAATTTAAAAGTGTTTGGGACGCCGTGGTGGGCTACGCATGTAGTTTGGTTCGGAAGTATATGCTCCATTTGAGATATTTTTGTGTGAGGACTGAAAAAAACCATGAGAAAACTTTGGAATACATCACTTTGGAGAGGTCTTGCTCTTTGTCCACTTGAAAAGCCGAGAACCTGAAGCCGCAGTCATGTGATCGAACCGGTTCACGATCTGCGTTTGGTATGAGCAATGACGAACTTTGAGTTCTACTGCTGTGAGATCAGTAATTTATTTTTGGAACGGCGGCCCTGAGATCAGAATAGAGCCACAAATAATTTTGCTTTTGTATTCGCGTTAAATATTCATGAAACGTGACGAGAGCAGACCAAAGGGGCCGTGATAATTTGATGTCTGCCAAACTGTTGAAAGGAAAATGCTCTCAGGTTATTTGACGAGCGGTGTTCCTGTTTTCGTTGCGTGTTTAAGGCATCTGGTTCCTAACAGGACCGTATGTATAATTTAAACAATATAACGAAGGGCCGTTTGTTGTGTGTAAGTTTGGTCCATCTCTCAGCGGGTGATTCAGACGTGCTCCTATGGAGATGATCATAAATTTATTCATGAAGATGGTTGGAATAAAGATAAGAAAGACCTAAGGGAAGGCGGAGATAAATGGGAAGAGAGATGTGAGTATCTTAAATTTTAGAGTTTTAGACTTTACAACCATATGGTGACTGGATATTCATGGAAAGGTGCGATAAATCAGCAGGTGTGAAAAACTGGGTACATGTAAAATAAAAGGACGTTTTTGTTGTGGCTCTGGCTGGTTTGCTGTGTGATATATTTCTGAGTCTTTACAAATAACTTTTGATCGTGTTGGTAGATTTTCACTGAGCCGGATTCGAAAATGTGTTTGTTACTAGACGAAGGAGTGAACAGAACTTTGTGCATCAGATGTTGACCGCCTTGAACCGACTGTCAATGCCAATTACAGTGGGCGCAAAGTATCTGCGAGCTTAAAAGGGTGAAGAGATGAAGGATCGGCGAAGGGGGAGCAATACGACGAAGAGTTCGTCTGAGCATGTACAATGTATAATATTAAAATAAGTGAAACGGATTAATTTTGTAGGTTAACTAAACTTTATTTACGAACACGAGTTTATACCTCTTTACAGAACATATAATCAGGGCCGTACTTAGACACAGGCGTATGAGGCGCCAGCCTGAAGCCCCGTAGATATACTGGCCCCCCAATAAAATTAATTTTGACAAAAAGTAAAAAAAAATAAAAACCCACAAATTTTACTAAGTAAAAATTACGTTTTTTATTCCTTACTCTGGTATCTTTAAAGGAGGCCCCGCAAGAGCTTAGCGCCTTGGGCCCCGAAAAGTGTAAGTACGGTCCTGCTTATAATGAATATGACCTGACGAAACTTATGGTCATTGTAAACACGTGGAGTGGCGAAGTCTTGAGGTGGGTACAGATCAAGGCGAACGTACAGTGAACACAACTGATTGGACATCGTTCGTGAACAATGTTCAATCAATTATGTTCGCTAATATTATTCCCTTGATCTCTACGCACATTTCGGGGTAAAACAGATAGTGATGATAGCCCTAGAGATATTTATAAAGTGGTCACACAAGTTCACCATTTTGCATACAAACGTGTATGCACAGTCACTATGAAAAAGGTCATTACCATTTTCTACGACCAAACCATTGTAACGAGAGAGGGAGGGAGTGAGAGTGAGTAACCTTTGTGGTGGTACATACAGTGACCACTGAAATGTCGGGAATATATTGATTATAAATTGTACGGATGATTATACCAAAATTTGACACACCAAAGGCGAGACAACGGTGATGGATTCAAATGTGTTGAAACGAAGGTTTGAGAGACTGATGTGCTTAATGGACTTGCCCTCCGGATAGCGTCCAGTGACGGGCTTTTGTGAACGCGATGATGAACCAACGGTTTTCCCAGTGTCAGAGAACTTACCGAGCTGCTTAAGAGTTAACAGTGTTAAAGAAAGTCTCTATAACACGGAGCTGTTGGTCGCTACGCCATGTCGTAGCAAGTTGTCATCTTGACCCTACTGATAACTGAAAAATTAACGAAAATGTATCACCCTCTGTGGCTAAAACGGACGACATTTGTCTTGTTTTTTGAAAATATTGAAAGCATATTCAGCTTGTGCCTGTAGAAGAATGACTTCGTTTTCAACTGTCCTAGAGTCTGAGCTGACAATGGAGTGAAACTCGCTTTTTCCTGACAGCGCAGTAGTAAATCCATAAATCCTGCCTTATATATTTACGTCACTTTGCAAGCAAGAAATTTACGACTTAATTTTTATGAGGGCATGTCTGTGAAACTAGCCCACACAAAAAGATATAACTCCTACCCTGTGCCCCCCCCTTTCCTCACCGAATTTGGCCCTCTGTCCGCTTGTCGCTGACCTCAGAGCCCGAAGCCACCAGAGACCGGTGTGTGGCCACGTTTTGTGAAAGGCCAAACAGGGAACAGGGCCCAGTCATCGCTGTGAATCGTCCGAGCGTCTTTTATTTCTAACCAATATTCTCGTCTTTGTGTAGGCTGTAATGCCGTTTGTGTTGCGGTATTTTTCTCCATTCTGTATGTACGTTATCGCGGATTCTGCTGGTACTGCTCATTTGAACGGGTGAAGTCCCGTTCGGTAAGTTATCCGTTTTGGACGGTTCACAACGAGGAAGTTTACGATGATTTGTGCACGCGGCTAGGATTGGTGACCCAGTGAATGATTTCAGAGTTGTAGTGGGGAAACCTATTAGAAAACTCACATATCGAGTACTGAGAATAAGCTAAGAGGGCAAGATTAAGATTGATCTAAGGGAGATACGTTGTGAGGATGGGAGTTGGGTGGAACTGGCTCAGGATCGGGTTTATTAGTACGTTTCAGTCGATGCTACTGGCACAGACCACTGTAAATTACTCAAATTTTTGCTCCTTGCTAAAATAGTCATGTGATGTAGTTTGTCGGAACTGATGATTGGATTTTTGCAAAACATGTTGCTAAAAATTAACCAGACGCAGGAAATGAGTGTTCTTACTACCAGTCTGTTGTTCTAATCGTGTTATGATTATTATTTTCTAGTACTTTGATCAATTTAGGTACCACCACTTCGCAGGAATAATCACCATTATCTTCGAAGTAGTCGCTGGCTCCAAGTTTCTCAGTTGTCTTCCCATTTTTCACAAAAGCTGCTATCGAGTTTCCTCGACCCAAGGCGCCAGCTCGCCCTCCTGATTGTAAATCGGCAAGTGCCAAGTGCATCCATCACACGCAGCCTACACGTTTCGTTTTGAAAGTGGAATTGACTTCGTCTCGTCTTCCCTATAATTTTTTCCAGCTGTTCCAGTAGGTGAATGGTGCCTTGATCCTTTGACCGAATCACTACAGTAGCATTCTTTGCCGGAAACATAGCCTTAGTCTTTCCTTATTTCGATATCAGTATACCAGCAGAAAGGTGGGTGAGATAGTGATCCAACAGTAACAAATTCTTCCAGTTTCTTGGAACGCAGGTGGCGTTTTGCTGATGGCACAAACTCATTTTCAAACCAGGAGCTAAAAATACCGCGCACAGAAACTGTTTTTGTAGATCACAAGACGAGAATTCGTGTTTACATACTGGAAACATTGGGGACTTGAACTTTTTCCAGGTCACAGTGATTTCAGCTTGTGATCGCCATTATTATTGGCACAGAGCATCAAAGTAACTGTTTCTTTGTTAGTTTTCTTACTAGCTTTGCTGGGTGCTTCTTTAAGATCTAAAGATTTGTTTGGAAGGAACTTATAGCTCAGTGCTGTTTCGTCACAGTCGTACAACTGTTTATCTTCTGTGTTAAGGTGGCATATCCCACGTCGAACCTTCCATATCGAAAGCGACCTAGCAGAAACTTTAAATGTGTCATCCCTGCGGAGTAGTGAGTAGTTTGTTGAATTGAACTGCTTGAGATTTCAAAATGACCCTATTTATGGGCACACTTTTACCACACTTTTGTATGAGGAACCACTTGTACGAGCGCTCGTGTACTTCACTGTCTTCTTCGCCGCCTTCTATGGAATCTGCAGACGAACGTAATTTGTTTCATTCTTTCGTCCAACCGCGTATTGTTTTTTCTGGAATTCGAGAAAAAATAGCTTTCAGCCGTTCTCAAGTTTCCCGATATATATATATATATATATTTTTTAAAATGTTTCTACTATTACATAATTTTTTCTTTTGGTCGTCTTCATTACACCTACTAGTGTCAGTTCCTGAAAATTACCCTCTCCAATAACTCAACGAGATTTCCACTGAACTTCACTTCTCTTCCTGTCTCAGCGGGATG